CACCTGTTCGTATCCAGCTGCTCGTGCACGCGAGAGGAGATTAGCATAATTACCACCCCAAAAAGCACCATATAAGGCTATGTTGTTTCCTGCCTCAGATACAAGGAAGTGTCCATTCATGAAAATGACAGCGAAAACTAAAAAGAAGAACTTTACGAGTTCAGAGATTGAAGTCCGTCTGTCAGAGATCCAGAAAAGAAAATCTGTCATTTTTAGCAGCTCAGCTGTGGAATAAAAAGAGCTGCTAAAAGTATAAACAACTGTGTTAAATCATTTTCATTTATTCAGAAGACACAGTGCTGTGCACCGTACCCCCACCCCCAATCCCCCGCGCGGTCGCAAGTGGTCTCAGTTGCGGTTCTGAAATAAGCATTTTAAAATGTTTTCAAAATAAGTCTGGCACTTTGGAGAAAATCCAGGACTCGCTGGAGGGATTGTGTACCCCGTCTGGCCTGGGAACGTCTCGGTGTCCCCCAGGACGAGCTGGAAAGTGTCGCTGGGCAGAGCGGGGTCTCTCTGCTGCTGCCCCCGCGACCTGATCCCAGATAAGCCGGCTGGCCGGACAATTTATATTGTTAGTCTAAATTATTACATTTAAAATTATAACTCAAATTCAATAATTTGAAAATACCTAAGCAAATATTTTAAGGTTGCAGACATGACTTTTTGTATTCACATATAATCTTGAAGAAGTCTCTTCTTTCACTTCCAATTGTTGGTTCGTTACAATATATTGATTTGATTTGATTTGATTTTAGTGTCATGCACCTTCTGGTGCCCAGTCCTCATGGGCTAATAAGACACTCCACACATAAAACAAGATGGTTGTGATTCATAACACAAGCCTCAAAAAACATCACGACAATCTGAAACTCAGCCGGGATTCAATGCATGCTGTCTTCTTCCCCAAGCTTTACAAACAAAAGCAACAAATGCAAAGATTTCCCYATCATAAACCCAACCTAAAACTTCCCCCTCACATAACCAAATTTACATCTACAGTATTTATACATTCAAATAAACTTAATCTTAAATCACAATAGAAAGGACAGAGAATAAAAAATGATATTCGTCTTCCACCACATTAGCATGACAATAGAACCGTCAGGACTTTAAAACTAAACGTGACTGAAGTCACCGATCTAACTGCTTTCATCAGAACATCCAGAACAAAAACATGTTTGGAACAAGCCAGGAACACTTCCCAGCATGCATCTCTTTTGTCTCTGAGGAAACAAAACTTTTCCACCTCAGATCTTTAGAAAGTATTGATCTCACGGTGCAGCCTAGTCCTTGATATTCCAGTCAGCTGAGAGAAACCTCGGTGCAGTTTATTATCCGAGAGCTGAGATGAGCTGAAGTGTGAAAACAGAGGTGAAACTGAGGTGTTTATCCCTCCTATAACTGCCACTTCACACCCATGTGACTAAATTTACCCAGATACTCGTGAAACATGTGAGTCTGTATCCAAACGACGGCATCGGGATTTACAAAAGTTCAAAAGAAATGACGTTGTTTTAATCAGTGGAGTAAAGTTCAGATAATTAATAATGTTAAAGGTTCAGTAAAGGAATRGGGCCGAGTTTAAAGGAAAATAAGTGTGTAATCTTTTTACAGCCACCAGAGTTTAACATAAAGAAGTTAACAAATGATCCTCAGTAAACATTTCTTCTCTTTAATTCATGTTTTTTTTTAATTTGTCTCATTTAAACAACAGCTACAAGCTATAAGTCCTGTGTGTGTTTGAAATATTTCAGTGCTGAACACTGATAAAGCTCTGGTGCAGAGGCTGTTGTTTTTAGAGTTTGGACTCTGTTTTTTAAGAGACAGAGAACAATTCTGGAAATCTAACACTCATTTTCCCTCTGCACRCAGTCCAAACAAACCTTTGGGTTGGATCTTCTGCTCTGCAGGACAGTTTGCAGCCTGCTGGGTCTGGTGTTCAGGCCGGAGAAGGCCAACATGCTGCTGCGTCCATTTTCTAACAAAATAACTGTAAAACAGYACTTATTGATTCTGTAACGTTTTGAACCTTTTGGTTTAGGGTCGGTATTTATTTGTTGGGCCATGTTGTTCTTTGATATACAGCGGGTGAAATAAGTATTCAACACGTCAACATTTTTCTCAGTAAATATATTACTAGAGGTGCTAATG